TTATTCTCTTGGGGAAAAATAAAGATGTCCGTGCATGTTGCRCATGCTCAGAATATCACTACCGTCGCTTTCGCTCACRGACCTAGTGACTCTTTCCAAAATCRGTTCTTCTTTTTCTGCTTTAGTTCCCGTTTCCTTATCGCATTAGCTAATGAAAAAGGGAGGCTGCATGGATTCAGCCAAAGTCCCTCGTGCCGGTGGTTCCCAGTTTTGGGAATTAACTCGAGAATGGAACATCTGTCAAACCACCTTGTCAACACTGAAACACTGGTGTTTTGCAGCAGGAAAAAACACGTYAATGACCTTTTTTCTCGGCATAAACCAATCTTGCATATATACATATATATAAGTCATATGAATTCAGTGAAAAATGAATAAACGTAAGTCCTGCTAACATTGCATTTTTGATGATTATYTTTAGTTCTACAGAATTGTCTTGTTTCTTTTCCTAATGCTCACCAGCTGACGCCTTGAACTTACAACAGGATTGTTGTATGGCTTACGCAGGTGAAATGAAACATGTTGCGACAGCACGATAGTAAAGCATATTGAGCGCGCGGCGCACATGGTACTCTTACTTGATATATTCCTGTATAGCATATACTATTCCTGTATAGCATATACTATTCCTGTATAGCATATACTATTCCTGTATAGCATATACTATTCCTGTATAGCATATACTATTCCTGTATAGAAACGTGTTGTAATAATTATAACACGTATATACTTATAATAACAAGATTTTTGTGTCTGAGCTGGTACTTCACGATCAGACAGCACTCACACCTAAAAGTTTGACTACAAGACGCAAATCTTACTTTTTCCCTATATTACCTCGGGCAATGCTTTTAGATTTGGAAGAAATAAACGCCAAAACGCGTATGTTCGGCCCTCCTACTCTTGTACGGCTCTCGCTACGTCAACGATACTAAAGTGCTCATTTTGTAWCACTATGCATGCAAGATTCCTTCCAAATAACCATGTAATAATTACGAAAATGGTGTACGACTTCAATTCTAATGCTATCCAATGCTTTCATGGTCACGTTACCATATTATATACTCGACTCTCGGCACCTGTCTCTTGATTCAGAGCTCCTTTATTTTTTCCCCTTTACCGCAGTTGGCATAGAAGGGTATTATTGAGGTGCTTATTACCAAAAGGAACGTGAACTTGTATTTTATATTTGAGCACTCTTCTTTACTCGATCCGTCGAAAATCGTTGCAGAGTTTACCAAAAGAACAATTTCTCAGTTACTGTTTCCCCCCGTCCATTGTGTAAAGGCATCCRTTGATGACAAATCCTTTTTCGTGAATAAGACAAAGGAAACAAGCTGCATGGATCTGCCTTCCACCACAATTAATGAATAATTTATCATGACTTGTCAAGCCATTGACCGTCACTATGTTGGTTTGAAATTGAATTTGTCTTCAGTTGAAGACGTTCTGGCGACTTTTACAATTTTAATGGACTGAGATAAGAAATATAAACTACACAGAAGGAAAACTATTTCATGAGTGTCTCGTATTGCTGGGTGTTCATTTTAATCTTTTCCGGCCTTTGTCCTCCTCAGTCCACGAGCAATGGCTCGTCTGCTTTGGACTGACAAAGGAAGGAAATTGTTCATGAACTCAGAGTAATTTTTTGAAGGCGTGGGAAAAAGTCTATTCAAAACTGACATTTTCCACAGCCAATTGAAAAGATAGTTACTATGATGGAAAAATAAATTAGAATAACTAATGAAAAAATACTTTGAACGGCAAAGTTTCTATATAAGCTGTCTGATGATGTATTTTCACTTGCATAATAGACAAAAACTTGGGATGTATTGATCAAAGAGTCTTGYCCAACAGTTTCATATAAGAGTTGATTTCTAATGACATTAGGAAGTCAGAAGAATTATTGAAATCGAGRGAAGATGAAAAGATTTGTGTACAAATCGGAGTAGCTATAGACGATCTTGGTATCAGTTTGTTCAAAGGCAGTACTAAGGATAATCTTTAACTAGATGATAATAGTAATAGTCTTAATCTTAATCCTCGTAATTCTATTTAGATTCTCTTTCATATCAAGGTTTCTTTTTTCTCACTCCGTTGGTAAGCTCGGCAAATCCTCTATACGTAATCTTTTAAAGCCTTGTCATTGGCTTGTAAGTTTTTCCGCCCTGGCCACAACCRAAGCCAAAAACAGCTGGCCACTTGTACGAATGACTTTTACAACTCGAGAGTAGAAAATGAGATGTGAGTGAGACGAATAAATGAAGTAATTTGAGAGTTGGTGGTGAGGTGACTAGTCAGGGAAGCGGTAGGATTTCATYCCAGATGGTGTTGTTAATACATCATGTCATGGCGATGTTATATTTTGTTTTTCCAGTGGTCCAGACGAGGTTACAGCCACCATGACCCCAACTTTTCTCATTTACGAGGCGGTTTTGAAATTATTRTACATGATATAACAACGCTTCCTCATATCAATTTAGCAGAGAATTTCCCCCCTTTCGGTTGCGGTGAAGATGTACGGCAATGAAGGGCGACAACAGCCTTTCTTTCAAAAACCATGAATGTAGCAAACATTATTTATTAATTTGTTGGTTAAAGTGCCGAAAAACAACACTGATCCTACGTATAATACACATGATAATTACTCTTGTACTCTGTCTCTTCTTGCCTCGTTTCTTCTCCGTACCGAGAGAAAAATACTAATTAATTGATTTTCTCTTTCATGACAAAAAGATATAATTTTAAAGGAGGAAGGTCAATTCTTTATAATTTTTAATCCACTACATGTAGTGAGGCAACAATATTTTAGGAAAACTAYTTGATGATATTACTGAAATGATCATATCTGTGGAAACAACACACATTTTCCATGAAGCCATTAATTTTACATCATCTAAACTTTCATTTTCTTTTTTCCTCGTTTTTATTCATTCATTAGGGAGTCAATTAACAGATTAATTTTGTCCAAAAGTCTTTTTAAATTTAAAATCAGACATTACTTTAAAATATATCGGTATCGCATAGTGAACTGTTATTCTAAGAAAAAATAAATAAAATCTTTGGAGTATTTGGTTCTGAGCCAGACGTGCCATCTATTCATACAAAATTTGAATTTGCTTTCTTGATCTTCAATTGACTGTTCATTTTGGCACAGTCATGAAATACAAAATGACCTGTCCTTTCGTGAGTAAACAGMAGTTGTAGGAAACCTTCCAGAACTTTCATTGTTATATTTCTTTTGTGTCRTTTTGCTTTATTGACTGAATTGTTTTATACGAACGGTTTGGCACAGAACGTGTGAATAAAAAAAGGGAATTGGATCAGTCTTTGGCTGTCTGCATGAAAACCTGCAAGTCACTGCCACAAGCATGCAACTTTTAAATCATATTTTTCTCGTAGATTTTTCTTGCTGTACCAAAGTTTGCCGATGTGTTTCCGGGTGTTAAATTCATGAAATGAGAATAAACCTTGTGCAAACAACACATGTATTATACSGGTCACGGTGTGCGCGCGTCACGACCTACTCGAAGTTATCTATTATTTACAAATCACGAGTTTATAGAATATTAATGGTTACATTGCATGGTTTTTTGATAATCTCGTACATGACTTTCTTTTAATGATTAATAGCGGTTAACCAGGCTTAAATCGACAAWTACTCGTCAAATCGTCATCGCTGTTGAAAGCAAAACTCAATTAACGGACCGACTGCGCTGTCACTTGAGTCATTTCAGGTTGGCTTCCCGTGTRGAAACATCGACGTCTTTACAGGTACAAAGTTTGGGTGAAGGAACATCTTGAACATGAACATGGAACCAAATGGCACAGAAGCGGCCTTCACTGGAAAAGGAAATGGAACGAGAAGTGGGAGCTTGGATGAGGGATTTCCTCTGGTTCTCGTTATATTTTACAGCCTTCTGTACATTGGTATTTATATTGTTGCGATAGCGGGCAACGTAATGGCCTTGTTGACTTGTTTCAAAAACTATAGAATCACGACGTCCATTCTTCTGGTGTACATCGCAAGTCTTGCCAGTGCTGATCTTTTGTTTATCCTTCTCTCTACCTTTGACTACGTGTATTTTTTCACCAAGAACTGGCCTGGAGGAAACGCTGGTTGCAAACTCCAAGGATTCTTGATCGAGACATCGTATTCTGCCTCCATACTGACATTGGTGGCCATCAGCTATGAGAGACTTCGTTCTGTCGCTTCAAAGACTCTTGCGCGAAAACAACGCATTGAGCGCCGCACAATCATCACCAAAGCCATCTGGGTTTTCTCTGCCGTTATTTCTGTTCCCTTGCTCTACGGATATTCAGTTATTCCTGAGGAGATGACAGGCAATTCTTTGTGCGTCAATAATGTATCATGGGGCGACAAAGGAAGGCAACTGTACTATTCCTGTCAGGCAGTGTTTATCTATTTGGTGCCGTTGTTCTTCATGATCTGGGCGCATTACAGAATCTTTCGAGTGCTTAAAGTACACACGCAGAAGAAAATGATCAGCAGTGTCGAGTCTAAACAGCGCAAGATTACTCACATGTTGGCTGTCGTTACGCTCATCTTCTTCGTTTGTTGGTCTCCTTTCATCGTGGTGCGAGCTCTAAGGTACTTTTACGCCTATGAGGGACTCGAACTTTGGAAACTCACTCAACTCGTTATCCTTCTCAACTCTGCCGTCAATCCTGTTCTTTACTGCTTCTACAGCGGTCAGTTCAGGTCTGCGTTCAAGGATATGATCCGTTGTCAATGGAAGTTAAACCTACGAAAGCTCTCTACTCGCGGTTCGCGCAGACACAGGGATGGCCTGCACAGCTATAGCCCAAACAGTTTCGCAGACAAATCAGAGGCAGATCACAGCAGTTCAAGTTGGAACAAACTAGAAACCCTCAAAATCAATAACCCCGTGTAGAAAACGCAACTAGGAAACATTCACGATACTATAAACACAAAACATTTTACAGTACATTTTAGTCTCATCAGTCGCAAGAATAAAATCTCACACTCTAGAAGTAATTAATATGATAACGATAACAATTAGTGAATAACTATCAAGATAGCGTTTATTAGTTATTATGATCAGTATTGTATTGCAGATAGTGTACTACAGCTCCAGGAACAAAGTAGTTTCGTCTTTTGGAACTGATTTAAAATCTGCAACAAATTAGAAACAATTCTACTCAAGTTTCAAAACCGGCGAAACCTTTGCTTTTGCTTTAAATCTTAAGTTTTTCTAGTTTATAATGATTGATTTTCGAACTTTAATAAGTTACTCCAGACCAATTTGATTCCATTATTGTTTATCTTTTATTCGGCTGTTGTCTGAGCAAGCATAATCAGTGAACGGAACATTACTATGGAGGAAGCAGGAGGGCAAGAGTTGACGTAGAGGTTGAGTCACGTTTCTTAGTTAACGTGTACATACAGTACATTATRCTGACAAAAATAAGAAAACTCTTTACCTCAAGATAAAACTAYAAGAAAAACATGCCAGGATTTGACAGAAAAATGTCTTATACTATGCGTCTTAAAATCCATTTTTTCAGTAGGGTCGTGTTTCTACTTATAATTACGTAAGAAATACGAATCACGTCAGTGTACTATATAGAGCGTGAACTTAGCGTAAATACTTTGTTATATAATTATTTRAATTAGGGCTCAATAGCCTGAAGCAAGGCATTAAATTACAAGATATATTCAATCTAGGGTAGTTAGGGTAAAAGAAAATGTAAAGACAAATGACAAAAAAATATTAACTATAATTACGATAGGTTATCAGTAGGTCGTAGTTGACGGCATCTTTCATGGATGTTACAAAACCAGACAACACAAATAAAAGCACAGTTCCAAAAACATGAGCTCTATAAACGTTTTAAAACTAGTTCTTAAAGATTGTCTTGGGGATGGTGCGCTAATTATTCTTAAACCTGAAGGCTTTGCCACAAACGAAACCTCACAGGAAATCTCAGGAAATTTTGCAATTTCCCTACAAAAYCGCCACACAACAAAGTGAGGCTCTTGTTCCAAATTAATTGTTTACTGCTAGCTTTGACCGATGTGCATGATTGAAGTTGGTCACAGGAAAGACGCCGCAAGAACCATTCTATAGAGCTCTGTTCAATCACGTTTAATCAGATTAAGATCTTTGGTTAACATCTGTGTGACCAAACTGAAGTTTTAAAATTTTGACTAATGGCAGGTTTGGAACCAGATCATGGTTGAGCTGTGATGCTGTCATTCCACATAAGGATGATGCATTCTATTACCCACCCAGTTCATGAACTTTAGATTGGTTATGTTCAAAGGACTAAAAGGAAGGACTAAAAGCTTGCTTCAATGTTATGAAAAACGGCACGTTTTGCGCTTTAGCATTGACAGTRTTCTTCTCGATATCTTGTCTTCAGCCAAAAGTCTTGCAAGTTGAAAAATCAATATTTAAAAAAGAGTTTTACGCATCGTAATCTTGGTTTGGAACACATTTTGTATTTCCTCCCAAAGTATTTCCTTTGTAGTTACACTATCAGTAGATAATAGGGCCAAGGAAATMTTTTGGGTGGGTCGTGACTTTTCCTGACCGCAGCCCATTCTGACGGGGAATTCCCCTATAGAATCCATTCGACTGCTAAGCCTTAAAATTTAATGAGCGACTTTATTGTCTCAAAAGTAACAAATACAAATACATCACGAGGCTTGATGAGAATCTGTTCTACACGTGGATCATGCAAGCGGGTCAGCTGAGAGTCTGCATTTTGCTCTGGTGCCGTTTCCAAAACCWGACTCTCCAAACCTTGCGCCCATCTTAGTCTTATCAGTACAGTAACCTACATCCATTATCAGAAGACAACTTGTTACTTAACGACGGAAGCTTTTTGTGAACGGAAAGTGAGTATTTTTTTACGTGAGGTGCATATGAMATCATAGACGCCATTTCGGTTGACTTTGACAAAAAGAATTGGTGGTGACTTTGTCTACGGTCAACCAATATGGCGGCCACGTCCTTTGTCCCTTCATTCTCGTCGGAAGGGATGCATGCCACCAATATTGTAACTTCAAAGGTTTTTGCCGCTCTTTTTTTTTTTTTTTTTTTTTTTGATACAAATCTCTGGGGGAACTTTCTAATTGCTCTTATGAAGTGTTGGTGAGAAAGGCTAAAACCGCTACTTTAATATTTTATAGAGATGGCTTTCTTGGATTCAATTGATCCAGTTAAAAATAATTTTCTTGTCAGTCGATGGCCATCAATAATTAGAAATCAGTCCACCCACTCACCAAACTTGCCATTCAGTTTCCATGCTGTGTGCAAGATCATAATCATTACATTTCCCGYCATGTTCTTGGCTGCGATCCTTAGCGCGCGGGAAACAGTACTGTTCTGGGACATTCAGTACGAATGACAGCATACATTAAAAAAGGTCAAGGCAGCCAAGGTAGACTTTGAATGAAAAAAGGACACGYGTGTACGTAAAACTGTTGCGTGGATGCCGTTAAAACTTCTTTTTTCTTTCCGCTGTTCCATAACGYGAAGAGAAGCAGGTATATTCGAGGACGGAGCTAAGATAAGGAAGGACGAATTTTGACGATTGAAAATGTGGTAAGGGGCAGCTTGCTGTGGCAGAGGTTGGTCGAACCATAGATAATGGAGAGCAAGGGCGGATCCAGGGGGAGGGTCGGGGGGGTCTCGACCCCCCCTGTCATTCCTGAGGTCAAATGGGCTTCCTGTGGTAAAAATGCGACTGGGATTCCTTTGCCCACAAAATTTACCCCCGAGACCCCCCTTCAAAAAAACCCTGGATCCGCCCTTGGAGAGAATGGTTTGGAAACTTCATAGAACAAAGCTATTGTTTTGCGTTTGAGGTTTAACCGTACCATCACGTGATACTGACCGTGCACAATGAACCAAAGCAAGTATGGCTAAAAATACTCATTTCCTTATTATTTCTTATTTTCATTATAAACATTTTGAAAGTGAAAACTTGCATTCGATGACCACAAACCATGCGGATAAACATTTCCGCGCAGATACATTTAAGTTACTAGATGATAAATAAGAAAGCAAGGCTATTTCCTTTTCAATAAACAATTAATATTAATCATATAGGATCAATTAATTAATAATAACAATTTTAGAACATGTTTTTAGAGAAAAACTTCTATATTCCATGATATTATGAACAAACAGAACAACGTTTCCTTCTCTGTGCACACGGTCAACATCATATAACAATGGTTAAATTCCAAAAAAACCCTAGAACAATAGGTTTCCAAACCATTCCGCTCCATTAACTGTGGTCGAACGCTCTTTTTCTGGCATGATGATGGGAGGTCAATATTATTRTTCAGACCGAGTAAATGTTTCTTGGACCATAAATAAAAAACATTTATGGTCAAAGAAATCATATGTTCAGTACCAATCTGCGAAACAACACCAAAGGGCCGGGTCAATGTTGGCCAGTCTTACTTTTTCGCTTTTTAGTGAAGGATATCTTGACAGTGTCGTATGTGGCCCAAAGTAAACCCCCTCTTATATTTGAGAAGATGAAGGATCGAATCTTCCTTAACGGGCAAAAGGGTTGAAGCTGTGCTATAGCAGCTGCCTGAGGCGCGACCTTCTCTTTGCTCATTCATGCAGTGCCACTGCTGTACTTGCTAAACAAATAAAATAACAAGCTGATATTGGTCTACTGACCCGGCTGCCACTTTACTCACTCTTGGTGTTGCGGGATTCAAAGCCAGATTGATCATGTCAAATATTTTGACAGGGGCCGTAGAGAAGTTTCACGTGACGCGTTATCAAGTTTTTTTTTCTCTAATTCGTGAACTCAAGAAATCATTTCTCGCTGTCCTTTGGGRAAAACAAGCTGGTACACGGCACCGTAACCGTTACTGTCACTTTCTCGAAAATTTGTTTTAAATTAGGGACTGGTCATCATAAAGTATCGATGGGGGCGGGGGAGGCGAAATCAGAATAGAATCAGTGTTTTTTATCTTAGCCCATCATAAAATGATGCTGAAAATGTGATGACCCAACCCCAGTTTAGAAGCAAAATTGCAGATGACCCACCCCTGAAAAAGGGATTCAATCTCATTCCCTAAACCTTGGTTCTCGGTTGCACACGTCTACCACTTCTTGTAACATTGACTGTTTGGGCTTCTTCTTTCTCTCTGCCATCGTCTTCCTCACTATCAGTAATTCCTATTTCATGAGTAACAATGTCAGTTTCTTCGTCGCTATCCAAATCTTCCTCATTAGTCACGTCCTCATATGAATTATCATCATCTTCAGTGTCCTCGCGTGAAGTACCCTCYTTTTCATGCTCTTCCTCTGTTGTACTTGTCGTAGTATTTAAAAGCTGCATAGACAGCCAATAATTTATTACTTGGACTTTCTCACTTTTGTACATTTTGCGCTTGAGCAAGTTGTGCTTTTTTAAAAAGAGGTCCAAGACTGTGGTCTCTGCTTCTTAAGCATTCCGCTGTCTTGGATGTCTTTCCAGCCATAGTCTTCGTATGCTTTAAGTTTCTCTGCTTTCTAATTTTTCTCTTTTCATTTGCCCTTTTAATTTTTTTCATTCGAAGGTACTACAGATGTTCTACATACTTCCTAACCAGATCCTCTGCAACTACAAATTTCCTTGAGAAATTCTGATGATGACAATTATAATACTCTATTTTGTAATGGCCGACCCTTTTTGGTTGTCAAATTTTATCAACAGCCCAACCCTTTGAAGGAGTTCAAAATTATGTGACCCACCCCTGATTTTGCCCCCCCCCCCCATACGACCAGTCCCTTACTTTATAAGAATTTTCAGCTTGATCTATACTATCGACGGCTGATGTAGTATGGTAATATTGGGTTTCCTGTGGATACTCTCCAACAAGACTGGGTTCCACAGTAATATTCAAGATGGCGGACGAAGGAGGGTTTCAGCTGGTACCTCGAAGAAAGCAAAGAAAAAGAGGAAATACCAAGAAAAGTAAGATAGAAGAGACTGTGAAGAACGCTGGAAGTGACAACGATTTGGAAGATTGCAACATAGATAGAATTATAACCCAAATAGAAACATTTCGGTGAGTAATTTTGTCTCACAAATCGTGAGGGGTACAGGACTATCATAGAAATATATCCAACAATCCTCCTTCTCTTTAAGAAATAAATGTTGAGACCCTGCAGGGACTGTGGATATTTTTGAGTGGGAGGAGGGCTAATCTGGGGCTATGAGAAAGTGCACCCCTGCCCCACAGAACATTTAGAAATTCAAGCTCTCGGTATTAATTTCCAGTCTGTGTTTTAAGGGGTATTGCCACATATTTATGTCATGGTGAAGATCTAGGCAACACATGACAGAAAATCATATTTGGCTAATATGATCATTTGCAGTCCTTTACCTGCCCATTGTTGGTTTTCAGCCTTACTCAGTGACAGAACGTTGGTTTGAATGAAAATACTGATGGCTCTTCCTTATTGGCTAAAAACTTAATAACCACCCCCCCCCCTCCAACCTTACCCCACCCCACCCCTTCCTAAGAACAACTAAAGATACATTGCAGATCATATACAGTTGTAGGCCCTTGTAGAATGAGCAATACGACAACAGAAATCATTGTTATTATGTCGTCTTCTCCTTCCCCTCTTCTAAAATAATTAATGTTCCCCTACTTGTTTTTTTCTAATGTTATTTGATTCATTCAACTTTCTCTGTAGTGATGAAATCAAAGAAAGTGACTTTTTTTTAAGCCTGAAAGGTTTGTGTTTGTAAACCATATGATCATGATCCAACTCYGTGAAAACATTTTGCCTCTCAAACATTAATATGCACATTACATCGTGATCATACATTCTGTGATCTCTCTTGCTTGCTTGGAGAGCAGCACAAAACTAACTTTACCAGCAATAAGCCTTATCCTTCAGCTAGCAATCCTATTTCTTCTTTATGCTCACAAAGAGGCATGGCTTAATTTCCACAAATGTGGTTAAAAAAATCAGTTTTCTAATCAGTTATTAGCAAAAATACTTCATACACATAAAAATAGTAGAAATTGCACAATACCGGTAGTTGTCTTATATCAACGTGATGACAGAGATACCATTCACAGAGCAGACAAACAGGCCAAATGTTGTCATACTTGACAAAGAAATGAAGTATAGTTTTCCAGGATAATATCTCTCCTTTTCCCCCCTAAAATTTAAAAAAAGAACAACAGAATATTGCTGTAAAGCCAAGGATTTGCAAACTGACAACATTCAGTGAAGTGAATAAAATATTAGACTGYGAGCGGTCCCCCTTTTCCCAATAGACTCAATAAAAACGAGTCCTCCCCCTTCGTCCTGCTTACTCGGCTCCAATCTATGCTTATCCAAACACACTTGTCATTACTGAGTTTGGAAGGAAAGGTGGGACCGCTCGTAGTCTTAATAAAATATGTTCATAATGAATGTATTATTTGTTTTATTCACCCAAGAATTGYGTTTAATTGATTAAGTAATATGTTGCCTGACTTTAATTTTCAGATCTATTTATACCTACAAAAAGTGAAGAAATAAAAGATAATAATAGTGAATCTTCTGAGCGAGAATCATTAAAAGATAAAGAGAAACCGAATCCTTTATTGCCTCATTTTGATGATATCATCTGTTATGGCGTTGGCTGTATACGCACATGCCCTAATGCTAAGTATCAGTTTGCTCTCTTGTTATTGTTAAAGATGTTTTTAATGGTATGTATTGCAAACATGTTACTGTGTAAACAATCTAGCAATCCATAATTCAGTGGTGTCCCTAAGACRCAGAACCAGCAGGGGGGATCCCATATATAGAAGGGCATGGATATACACCCTAAGAGGTATTGGTTTACTCTCAGTCCTTTTAGCAACACTGGTAGCAAATCTCAGATCTGGATCCCTAAAAGGTACGACAAGCATCTCCACCCTTTTCCAATTTGATTCCCCACCATCCCAACACTATTGATTGTGCCTCAATAACCTACCTTTTCCTTTTCACTGTGTCCTCTTTCAGTGACCAATTACTTTACTTTTACTTTCAGATTCCCAATGAACAATGCTGTGTATATGAACCACTCTTTAATGAACATGATAAAAATATAGTAAAGCACTTTGAGTGTTCTATAATAAGTCACAATGAGGTAATCCATTTTTTGGTCTTGTGTAAGTGAATATTTTTTTGCCTTCTTTGCAACGTTGAATTGGCKTTTTAAACTAGGAATGGCCTTTTTCCCTAATTTTTAAATGACTTGAAGACCATTCATTTTTCTATTGGGGAGGGGGAGGGGAATGGGATTCACTTGGTTACTAATACCAGAAATGTGACCCCCCCCTCTCCATTGTTGCATAAAAAGTCACCCTTCCCTTGTTTTCCATTATATTTATTGTAATGGTGCTATGGRAATCAGATTTTTGAATGCCCCCCTCTCCATTGTTGCATAAAAGTCACCCTTCCCTTGTTTTCCATTATGTTTATTGTAATGGTGCTATGGGAATCAGATTTTCTGTGTGCCCCCCTCCATTGTTGCATAAAAGTCACCCTTCCCTTGTTTTCCATTATGTTTATTGTAATGGTGCTATGGGAATCAGATTTTCTGTGTGCCCCCCTCTCCATTGTTGCATAAAA